ATAGATAGATTGAAGACGGGGAATTCATGTTGGGAGTTGCTATATATGCTTCTTAAGTGCTTTTTTTTTAATGTTTTTCTTTCTTTTTTACTACGAAATGTGTGAGTAGCCTTCCTTTATCTAGAATCGAGGCGTAACCTGTCAAGACCTTGAAGTTTTTATAAATTATTTAGTTGTTTATTCTTTCTCTCCTATTGATCTAAATTCTTTAAAATTTACATATACAAAGAAATTAATTATTGTTTTTCATAATTTTAGATAATTAGGAAGGTATTGAGAAGTGAATCTAAATATTAGAACTTAAAGAATTAGACTTAAGCCTTAAAATATAAGAGTGAATTTAATCTTTCGGGCGTCAACTAAACTAATATAGATCTTAAGGAGTTTAGTTGAACATAACTATCACAAGAGTAGAAGTTCATTCAATTAAGTACACCTTCACATCCTAGATGTAACAAAACATACTTCAGGTTAATTTACCCTTAAAAAAAATAGATAAATATTGGGTAAAACATTTGAATAGATAAGAACTTATTGAAGGAACCCTTAATTTTGAAATTTTCTTTAATAATAAACTTTCTTAAAATTCTCTTTTACTCTTATTTTTTATTTCTTAATTTTATTTAAGATCAATCTTAGATTTACTCTCAACTAGGGATGACAAATATACCCGTACCATGGGTAATATCTGAACCCGTCCCGACTTTGACGGACAATACCCGGTTTGACCGGATACGGGTACGAGTAAAACTCGATATATTAAATCAGCTACGGGTACGGGTACGAGTATGTACTTACCCGCCCCGTACCCGTCCTCGTTCCCATATTTAATTATTTTAAAGAATTTTATTATTTTATTATGTGTAATTATTTATTATAATATGAGATAGAGAAATAACCTAATTATAATTATAATATAATAGAAAAATAATTTAAAAATATTATATTTTCTTACAAAAAATAAAAAAAAATGACGGGTATGGTACGGGTATACCCGATATTAGACGAGGACGGGTATACCCAATACTCGATGGAGATGGAGATGGGGATAAAAATTATATACCCGACGGGTATAGGTACAGGAACAAGGATATGTTTAACTCGCGGAGACAGGGACGGGTATCATGAAACCCGTACCCAACCCGTTGTCATCCTTACTCTCAACTTAACCTTTAAGTACGTTTAAATCTTGTTATTTTAATTTAACTAAATATTGATAATTATAAGGTAAAAATGTGGTCTTTGTGTATTCAATAATTTATTATTTGATTACAAATGGACACTTGCGATTTTCTCGTAACAGAGATACATTTGAGTGATGGCAAATGTTTGAGAACAAAAATTAAAAAGTTGTTCAATAAGTTAGAAATTGTAGAAAAAAGAAAGTCGATATGGCTAAACAGAACAATTGACATGTCCACGATGACGCTATATTTCCTACTTCAAAAAATATAAATAGATGGTTCAATTCAAAGATAAACTATATGATACAGACAGGACGCCATTTTTCAGGTTGACTAGAACATCCTTTTGCATATAGAAGATATGGTATGGAGTTCAACTATAGAAATATTATAAAAAAATGGTAATATTCTTTTAATAGAGCACATCACTAACTCGATAGTGAAAATGGTATATATATACAATTGATATTTCGACAACCCTACATAACTATCCCACTTCAAACAAAAATGCAAAAGAAATGTACTATATATATTTGGCTTCCAATTCTTATAAGCTCCTTATTTTCTGCTTTAGGTAAACACCAAAATCATTTGATAACTTCTTGCATAAGTATATGTATAACTTAAGTTTTCTAAAATTATTAAAAAAATATCTTAATTAAATATATAAATTTTATAATTATGTTATAGATTTATTTTAAATGAGTATGATTATTTTTTTTAATTAAAGAAATATTTGTTAAATTATTTATTATTATTACAGATATAATTATATTTTATTTAATGTATTTTGATCAGATATTATGATTTTGATTATTTTAGAGATCTTATAGATAATAATGTTTTTAGATAAGAAAAATAAAGATTTTAAAATTATTTATTTTGTAGAGTTATTATCTTATATATTTGAAAGTATGTTATCGTATGTATTTATATATAAGATTTTGAATTAATTAATTGGGTTAGTATTATATTTTGAATGATATTTTGAAATTACAGTATTTATTATTTAATTATTTTTAAAATAGTAAGAAATAATTAATTAGGATAGTAATATATTTTGAAAGACATATTCTAGTTGAAATAATTAATAGTAAGAAATAATTAATTAAGATAATAATATACTATTAATTAGGATAATAATATATTTTGAAATAATTAATTAGGATAATAATATGTTTTGAGATAATAGTTTATTTATCTAGTATTTCAAAGACATATTCTTGATTTAATTATTTTTTATAATTGTGAGAAATAATTAATTGAGCTTTTATCTATGGGTCACACATGTGTTAGGGTTGGCATCTTTATAAATGAGATAGTAGAATTAGGGTTGTCTCACTTCACATTATTATTATAATGTGCATCTTGTGCTCTAAAGAGGAAGGAGAACCAAAGGTAGTTGAATATGACTTCAGAGATTCACATATGAAGTTTGGCAATCATCAAGAGTTTGACGATCATTGAGGAAAGGGGGAAGTGAGTAGTCTCGCTTTAGGCATAAGATGTATATTGAGTAGTGAGATTTGTCCTAATCCTTTCTCTATTGCTTATATTAAATGAAGCGAGTTTTCTCAATTAATTGCATTATGTTTTTTTTTCCTTTTATATGATTCTTTGTTATTCTATTTAGCGTTGTGTATTTGTATATGTTTCCAATTTTGTGATTGGACTTGTAATTGTGAAGTTTGGATTGCCTATGTGGGTTCCCGTGGAAATCCTAAATGGCTATTGTATGAGTAATTAATAGAAGTATGTAATTAGAATGTGAAATTAATGTTGTATTTAAGTAGTTGATGATATAATAGAGTAGTATTAATCTTTAATTGTGATTTTTACCGATCGGATTGAGAGAAGAGTGTTTGGATGAGAGTTATGCTAGATTCTCAAAATTCTAGTATGAATATACTTTGGTATTTATCTGATTTCTCTACGTGCGATTAATGAAATTGAGTTCCGATTGTTGTAACATTCCAAATTTTCTACTAGTATAAGGGTTAATTATTATTTATTTTTATATTTATGAAAATTATTTTTGGTTAGTATTATATTTTGAATGATATTTTGAAATTACAGTATTTATTATTTAATTATTTTTAAAATAGTAAGAAATAATTAATTAGGATAGTAATATATTTTGAAAGACATATTCTAGTTGAAATAATTAATAGTAAGAAATAATTAATTAAGATAATAATATACTATTAATTAGGATAATAATATATTTTGAAATAATTAATTAGGATAATAATATGTTTTGAGATAATAGTTTATTTATCTAGTATTTCAAAGACATATTCTTGATTTAATTATTTTTTATAATTGTGAGAAATAATTAATTGAGCTTTTATCTATGGGTCACACATGTGTTAGGGTTGGCATCTTTATAAATGAGATAGTAGAATTAGGGTTGTCTCACTTCACATTATTATTATAATGTGCATCTTGTGCTCTAAAGAGGAAGGAGAACCAAAGGTAGTTGAATATGACTTCAGAGATTCACATATGAAGTTTGGCAATCATCAAGAGTTTGACGATCATTGAGGAAAGGGGGAAGTGAGTAGTCTCGCTTTAGGCATAAGATGTATATTGAGTAGTGAGATTTGTCCTAATCCTTTCTCTATTGCTTATATTAAATGAAGCGAGTTTTCTCAATTAATTGCATTATGTTTTTTTTTCCTTTTATATGATTCTTTGTTATTCTATTTAGCGTTGTGTATTTGTATATGTTTCCAATTTTGTGATTGGACTTGTAATTGTGAAGTTTGGATTGCCTATGTGGGTTCCCGTGGAAATCCTAAATGGCTATTGTATGAGTAATTAATAGAAGTATGTAATTAGAATGTGAAATTAATGTTGTATTTAAGTAGTTGATGATATAATAGAGTAGTATTAATCTTTAATTGTGATTTTTACCGATCGGATTGAGAGAAGAGTGTTTGGATGAGAGTTATGCTAGATTCTCAAAATTCTAGTATGAATATACTTTGGTATTTATCTGATTTCTCTACGTGCGATTAATGAAATTGAGTTCCGATTGTTGTAACATTCCAAATTTTCTACTAGTATAAGGGTTAATTATTATTTATTTTTATATTTATGAAAATTATTTTTGAAAAATATTTTGATTTTTAGTAGCCTAGGACGGGCCGTTCCCAAAATGGAACGGACCATTCAAAACTACTAAAATAGCCTATAAATACTATATTGGAACGGGTCATTCCAACTCAGGATTTTATGAGTAAAATGCGAAGCTAGAACGGGCTGTTCCGATTTGGGAACAGGTCGTTCTAGATATACCCGTTGTAGGTAAAATGCAATTTCAGAACGGGCCGTTCTAGTTTTGGGACAGGCCATTCTGAATGTGAAATTTAAGCATGACGAGTGAGTCCAGAACGGGTCGTTCCGAATTCGAAACGGGCCGTTCTGGTCACTCCTGATGCCTATAAATAGAACGCTCCAGCACTCCCAAAAGCACATTTTTCACTTCTGACCTCTTTTTTCTTCTACACTCTCTGAAGACCAAGGGAGAACCTAGAAGAGGGGACTAGCAAGATTTGGCTTTAGTTTCAGCTCCTGCTTATTGAGGTAAGGGGGGAGTGAGAAACCTCGCTTTGGGTGTGGGAATATATGTTGGGTAGTGGGATTGGCCCCAATCCTATGTTTGTTGTATGCTCATGTATGAGGGGTTTTTTCCCAAATATATGTTTCTTCTATTGCTCTTCTTATATGTAAATAATTGTACGATTTGAGTTCTCTATGGGTTTATGAGAGAACCCTATGAGAAACAGGCAAAATATGAATGTTTTGGGAGAAGAAATGGGTGTCTGAATGGTAATTGGAGTGGGAGAGGGCTGAGTAAGAGAGGTCTGTGAAGGTGTATGGAAAGGGAATGTGAATTCATGAAAGAACACATTTCGAGACATGAAGAATTCATGGGAATGAAGATCATAAAGAAGATACCCCTTGACACCTTCTTTATATCCTAACAAAACAGATTTCTTGGCTCGGGGTTGAAACTTGGTTCTGTGAGCTTGCAAAGTTGAAGCATATGCAAGGCATCCAAATGATCGTAAATGAACTAGGATTGGTGGTCGTTGATGAAGGGCCTGATATGGGGTTTTATTATCAAGAAGGGGACTTGGGATTCTGTTAATGAGATGGACAGCATGCTGAATGGCAAAGTTCCAAAAGTTTTTAGGCAACGAAGCTTGAAAATAGAGAGCTCTAGCAGTGTTCAATATGTGTTGGTGTTTTCTTTCAACCACCCCGTTTTGTTGGGGAGTTTCAACACAAGATCCCTGATGAATAATGCCTTTTGAAAGAAACAAATCATGCATAAGGAACTCACTGCCATTATCTGTTCTGAGACATTTTAATTTAGTTTGAAATTGGGTTTCAATGTAGGAAATGAAATTGGTGAGATGCTGTCTTGTTTCAGATTTGGACTTCATCATTACAATCCAAGTAAAACGGCTAAAGTCATCAACCAAGGTTAAGAAATATTTGTGGCCAAAAACAGATGGGATAGAATAAGGACCCCAAATATCAGCATGCAATAATTCAATCACAGAAGCAGATTTTGTATTACTAATGAAATGTGGTAATCTTTTTTGTTTAGCAAAGTGACAAATGTCACATGGAACATCATGATGTTGGTATGAGACAATGGGAAATTGAGAAGCTATAATCCTATGTGTAGAATTTGATAAATGGCCTAATCTATGATGCCATAGAACGGAATCAGAAGAATCTTTGGAAATAGTATTGCCAACAAAAGGCTGGGTGAGTTGGGATCTTGTAGCGGAGTCTCTGATTATCACATACAGTCCATGCTGATACTTAGCTGTACCAATCATCTTCTTGGTAGAATTCTGCAAGATTAAACAATGATCAATATGAAGTTCTAAATGACATTGGTGAGAATTAATCAGCTGAGAAACAGAAATTAAATTGACACAAAAGGAAGGAACAAACAAAACATCATGCAGAATCAAATCATCTAAAACCTGGACACTCCTGAAACAGAGGTAGTAGCATGAAAACCAGTGGGCAAGGTAATTGAGACAGGGGGAATAGAGTGATGAGAAATAAATTGATTCATGCTATATGTAATGTGATTGGTGGCACCTGTGTCAAGAATCCAGGTGTTGGAATTCTTACCGGATGAGGCATTGGAATTGAAATTCATTGCTAAGGGGGATGAAACAACGGAGTTGGCTGAATGGGATGATGGTGTTGGGATGGTTTTAGATTGTTGTAAAAGGCTCAACAATTCTTGACATTGCTCTTGAGTGAATCCAAAATTGGGATTGTTAGACTCGGGAACCATACTAGAGGGAGATGTTGTTTCAACAGCATTAACAGTAAAGTTTGCACTCGTGCCCCCTTTTGATTGATAACCAGGTGGAAATCCATGTTTGAAGTAACATGTATCCACTGTGTGATTGTTCCTTCCACAATGTGTGCAAATTTTAATGGACCCGTGTGTACGACCTCCTCTACCTCGACCTCTACCATGAGAGTAGCCTCCTCGCCGAAAGCCAAATTGTTGCTGCTGTGGAGATTGATGTTGTTGTGTGGTGGGGGTTTGAGGGAGGGAACCAAAGCTTGTTGCTGCTAGTACCTTGGTATCATCATGGATTGCAGATTGGTTAAGGTGTCTTTCTTGTTGTCCTACCAATGAGAATGTTTTGCTTAGTGAAGGGAGAGGGTCCATGAGCATAATTTGGGATCGGACATGTGTATATTGATCATTCAAGCCTCTCAAAAATCGTATCACAGCATCTTGTTCTCTGTATTTGTATGAAGAATCTACTGCTCCGCAACTACATGCTATAGAGCATTTACATCTAGAGAGAGGTCTAAGGTTATCAATTTCATCCCACATTTCTTTAAGCTGGGTGAAATATTCAGTTACGTCAAGGCTTCCTTGATGAAACTTGTACAGATCTTCCTGTAATTGTGCAACTCGAAAAACGTCTCCTTGTGAAAATCTTGCCTTCAAATCTTGCCAAATATCTGATGCAGTATCAAACCAAAGAATGGATTTCACAATCTTTTCAGAAATTGAATGCTGAAGCCAGGAGATGACCATGGTATTACATCTGCCCCATGGTTCAAATAAAATGCTTGATGAATGTGGAGGAGTAAGAGTCCCATCAATAAACTTCACCTTATGCTTAGACATCAAAGCCATTCTCATTGCTCTGGCCCTTGTGTGGTAGTTCTTACCATCAAGGAGTGGAGTCACGAGCACCAGGGAAGGAGTTTCATTTGGATGGAGATAGTATGGGTTATAGGGATTGGTAGTAAAATCTGCATAGCTCTGGTCTTCCATGGTTAATAGTAAAACTCCCAATTTTCCAAAACCTAACTCACATGCACTTTTCTATAATTTTGTTCTCTCTCCCAAATCATTATTTTCACGAATTAAATATATATTTCTAATCCTCAACACATACAGAGTCTAATGGGATTATCAATTCCTCAAACAGAAATAATTATAAAATTACTCATAATATTAAGGGACTCTTCCTCTACCCAACTCCCTCATGTAACTACATACAAATAATTCCCTTTTCTCCCGTACCTGGATAAACAGTAGCTGAAACTAAAACAGAGATCTCCTTGGTCTCCTCCTCTTAGTGTCTCTCAGTCTTCAGAGAGTGTAGAACGAAAAGAAGAGAGCAAAGAAGAAAAGAAGAGAGAAGTGAAAAGTGTGCTTTTGGGTGTGCTAGAGTGCTCTATTTATAGGATCAGATGTCTCCGGAACGGCCCGTTCCAAATTTGGAAAGGCCCATTCTGGACCCTTAAATCACGAGTAAAAATCACATCCAGAACGGCCCGTTCTCGAACCAGAATGGCCCATTCTGGGGTGCATTTAATACTTACAACGATCATATTTTGGAACGACCCGTTCTCAACTTTGGAACGGCCCGTTCTCAATTAGGTGAAAAGGCCTTTTCTAAAAACCGGAACGTCCCGTTCCCAACTAAGAATCATAGGCAAATTTAATGGTTTGGAACGACCCTTTTATTTTTCTCGTGTTATTTTTCTTTGACTGTTATACAGGTAATCATCAGCGTGAGGCTAATGATGTTGGTGATGAAGCTTAGGCTTCTATGTTAGGCTTTGCTCTGATAGGACATGTGACATCGGGGCATAGATAGGATTAGTTTAAGATGTTCTTATTAAATTATTTTGGAAAACTCAGTTTTATTTCTTTGTAATTTTACCGGCATGTTATTTGGATTAAGTTTATGAATGTGAGCTCTTTATCCTTACGTGATTGGAAATTTGGTTTTTAATGATGAAAAATTTTATTTTTTTATAATTACTGTATATGTATGTTGGGTAAAGAGTGTCACAATTGTTGGGTTATAAAGTCGTGTTCTCACTTGAGATCGGTCTAGGGACGATCTCCTCATGAGGTTGGGAGAGCCTCCTCTACTTCGTACGCTTGTCACTCTAAGATGGGGGAGGTACCTGCAAAAGAGACTCCAATGCTTAAGTTAGTCCTTGTAGGTGTGTGGGTCTCGTATATATAATGCACGTACCTTAGTGTAAATTAGGGTTTCTCCCTTAGGCAAAAGTGGAATCGGTTATGATCCGATAAGATTATGGACTTATCTTTTTTATCTTGTTAGTTGGGGAATAGTTTTATCTTCTCAACCAATGTGGCTTGGTGTTCATGTGCCGATTGAGTATCGACACTAATGTCGATGTGCGGTGATATTGGGCCGAGGTGGCCGAGGTACCGATGTAGGTGGTATAAGTAGACATTTAAAGTTACAATTTAGACTCAAGAATCATATAAAATGTTAAGGAATAACTGAGTTATGTGAGTTAAAAGATGAATCTCATATTCTATGCATGAAATGTAATATGCATATGTTGTAAGCCTTTCGAGTAGACTTAAATGATAGAATTATGTTTTGTAATCTTCATAAATGTTTTTTCTATATATAGGCTTGTATCCAATTTTAATCATGCAAATATTTTTCTGTAAATAACTATTTTTCTTATTTTTCTTTATGTGAATTTTACTTTATAGAGGAACATGAAGTGACTATTTTTTCCTAATTAGAATATTTATCTTGAAAAGGAGTATTATTAGGAAGTTATTCTTTAACAAAATTATTTTTAGCTAATTTTCTTTAATTGTAGAATTTTTGGAGATTTCCTTAATATCTCATCTCTTTTGATTTTACTTTAAATTTTAATGTTGAATTAGATTTCAATGCTCTATAGAAAATTATTAGTTGTTAAGAAAATTATCAGTTGTGAAGATTAAATTTGTATTATAATATAAATTATTTATTATAAATATAAAATATTTATTTATTATGAATTTTAATTGTAATATAATTTATAAGTAAAATAATTACTTATTAAAGTTATAATTAAATCAAATAAACATATATTTTATAAATTTTATTTAATAGTTTTAATTATAATATAATTTATAAATTATAAATTATTATTTTTGAAAATTATAATTAAATCAAATAAACATGTATTTTATAAATTTTGTTTAATAGTAGTAAATAAGTGTGAAATTTTATTCCATGTTTAAGATATATATTATTACTTTCATATAATATCAATGAACTTTAATAACTTAGTGGTATAATATTATTATTAGAGTTAAGGGATTAAGGATTAAAGTCTCATTTTTTAACATTTTTACGATTTTTTATCTTATTTAAAATATTTTATCTTCATATTTTTCTCAAAAATGTCATTCCTAAAATCTTTAAATATTTAGATAAATTTTCATCTTGTTTCAAATATTTTATGTGTCATTTTTCCTAACAACTTGAAACTTGTTGACATAAGATTACACCTTTTCTTAGCGACTATTGATATTATTGACATAAAATAGTTTATTTCCCAACAGCACATAGTTTTCGCAACAATATTAATTTTGTTAACAAAAAGAAAATCCTAAGGTAACAAAATTTTTTATTTTGTTGCCAAATGACTGTCTTTACCAACAACTCATTTATTGTTGTAAAAAGTCATTGCAAATAACCTATTTTCTTTTAGTGATGCTCCAACATTCAAATTCAAAAAAATGTCAACAATATTTCACATTCTACTATATAAAATAAAAATATATAGACTCATGAATACAATACCTACATGTACAGCTTTGATGCCATGGTCCCTATAATAAGGCTTGAATTGACCCCTTTATTCACTACCATTATCTTCTCTAATACACTTCTACATTTTGCTTGTTTCTCTTTCAACACTTGCTCGAAAGTGTTTGAATACATCAAGTACCTGATCTTTGAATTTCAAAACAAAATCTCACATTTTTCTAGAATTATCATTAATAAAAGTGACAAAATAACAATAACCATAAAGGTTTTTACATCTATGGTGCAAATATTAGTGTGAACTAAATCCAAGATATATGGCATTCTACGTGGATGATAAGTGCAAAAAGTAATTCTATGTTGCTTACCAACAAGATAATCTGAACAAGTTTCAAGAGATACACTTCTAATGGGATGCAACCCTTGTCTTGCAAGAGTATCAAGACCCTTCTCTCTCAAGTGACCAAGACCTTTATGACATAACTTTGTAGAATAATCTGCAATTGCATTCACTTCCAATGTAGATAGATAACTTTGTTGATATCCAATAAAGAGTATTTTACTTCTTTCCCTTTGCTACCACCAAAGTCCCTATGGTGCACCTCCATTTACGATTACCAAAGGAATTATGGTATCCATCTTCATGAAGTTCTTGTACTAAATTCAAGCTAAGGCATATGTTAGGAATGTTAATGACATTCTTCAAGTGTACCTTGCATCCGATATTAGTCTCCAATTAGATTTCTCCAACACCAGCAACATTGCTTACCCCTTGATTTCCAATCTTCACTTACCTAAAATCAACAAAGTGTAAAATGTAAAGTAATCAATAACCCATTCACGCTCCTGGCATGCAAGATTAATAGAATTATCATCATAAATAAGACAAATTCATCATCGGATACTAGAGCTAATCCAACAAATTATCAGGCCTAAAGAAAATTTTAAAGAGAAGTTTTTTTTTTAAAATTAATAATAGTACCTTTTGATAAAAAAGATAAAAATATTTTAGAGATTGGTCTTAAAAAATAATTATATTTGTATATCTTTTATATATAAGCCTCTTAAAGTGAATTTTTAAGAATACAAAAAATGACTTTTAAGTTATGAAACCTTAAATAAGTTATAAAAATATTAATATTTTTTTTGAAGGGGCCTAAAGCAAGGATTTTGTTGACTTCACCCTTGGATCAGCCCTGTCAGATACAATTATAGTAGTGTTTTTGTCTTTATCTTCTCTCTTATCATTACCTATATCCCTTGATTTATCTCGCTTAAGGAACCTGCACTTTTTTTTTTTGCAATGGAAACACTTAATGATTTTCCTTGTTCGTAACCTTCCCTTTGACTTGCTACGATCATCAAATTTATTAGAATTTCTATGTTAGTTTTTTCCCCTTGACTCCACAACCAAAGCTTCATTATGAGTCGAAGAGTTAGCCATGCCTTGTCCCTTCCTAGTTTCTTCATTACGGAGACTATCTTTGGCACATGATGATAGATACCACCAGTGTGTCCTAACTATCTAGTAATGAGCAAAGCAACAACAATGTCAACAACTCATCATCTAATACAATCTTTATAGTATTCAACAGATTCACCAAATTCTTAATATTGCTTATGTAACACTCCAATTTTTTTAAAAGGTATTTTTGTAATTAATGGAATTTTGTAATTTTAATAAAGGAATAAGGGTATTTTTGTAATTTTATTATTAATAAAAATATTATAAAATATTTTATTGCCCTACTTAATAAATTTTCTAGATCCATCCTTGTTTCCACTTGTTGTTTCGACCATCACCACTACTAACCATATGGTGGTGATAGTGAGAATGATAATAGCAATTGTAACAATGACGATAATGATAGTAACAATAATGTCACCACTACTATCATTATTGTTGTTGTCTCATGACAGGGATGATAATGGTACGTACAACAATGACATCGATAACAATAATGACCATGATAATAACAATAATAGTATTGATAATATTATAATTAACATCGTCATTGTTGTTGCCATTATCATTGAGATAATATTAAAATGAAGGTTTAAAAGAAAAAGAAACTATAAAAAATGACCACCAAAGGTTTTAAAATATCACATATAAACTACCATTTTAAATCTCAAACTGTGAGATACTATTTATTAGTTTTTGAAATTAAAAAAATTAATAAAATTAAAATCATTATTATTATCATTATTATTATTATTATTATTATTATTA